GTATAACTCCTGATCTTATACCGAGAAATACGAGACATATCTCTTTAGAGCTGTGAAGAGTTTCAGAAGTTATATGTTGAAAATATTATCTGAGTTAGGTTCAATCACATATCTGTTCCAATTTGGAACGCAAATTATATGATGGGTGCATAGTATTTTTGTGATGTGGTGAAGTATAGAAAAGTAAAGTATCTTGAGTTCGGGTATTGGTATTTATAGCAGAGTTACTGTCTCTGTATGTATATAAAATTGATCGTGTAGATATTGCAAAGCAACGAGACTCTAACTAGTTATGTACGACTGTTTATGACGATTGACAGAACATATGAAATCAACAAATGGCTCATGATTGCCACATGAGTAAAAATCTATTTCAGCCATATGCTTCATTCTCGGATATAAGCACCAAAACTGGTTCATAAATTGCACTGGTAAATAGTTGTGAGAATTTTAACATGAGCAGATGTAGAGAACGAACCATTTTTACTAATAATTATTATGTGTTTATTATATAATGTCTGAATTACGTGAAAAACTATCTCAATATATAGGCTTTGAGCCTGAGGAAATTCACCTCCCAATCACAGATGAGGATAAACAGCTTTTTCGGGAATTGATAACAGGTCAAGAGGAGATGACAGATATTGTAATGAATGAGTATCGATTTTTGCAACATTATGGACATAATTATAAGGGAGGTTCCTTAATCCATATTATGTGGGTGTATATATGTACCGAGGGTGATGCTAAGAAAGTGTTGATAGATGTACCTCCATCTAAGATATTATCGAAAAAGATTTTAGCCCATATTGAAAAAAGATTCGAGGATTTACCACTTGCGCCAGTGATTATAGTTGATTAGATAACTTGTGTAACTTGACGTTTCTGCTAAAATAATTAACCTTCATGTGATATATGTGTCATAGAAGGAATTCGAATGTAATAGAATCTGCATGCAGTATCTGGTCATGCAATACACCGATTACCAAATTTAATTAGTGCCACTTACACTCTGCATATCTATGTGAAAAATTTCTCAAAAGCAGATATATAACATCATTTTTTATTCTGCCAACTTCATATTTATGGGCAAAGCCCAGTGTCTTCGACACATATTTACCGTAAAACTAATCTGATATGTTGTACTTTTTACAAATAGGGGTAACGATAACCTGGTTTGAATAATCGACTTGAGATATGTACATACTCTTTGTTCTCGTGCATATACTGGACTTCTTTCTTAATCCATGAGTCGAGATACTAAAAAAGGGAATAATGAGACGCGTTAAAAGGAGAGTGTATCAGCGTTTTAAAAGCTTTATTTGCGTTTTTACTATAGCATTACCTGTATACAATTAAAATTTTTATTTTCACTATGTCAAGATTAATAGCAGAAATCGAATCTTTTTTGTTAGAATCTCCTTTAGAAGCCATTTGCAGTGGATCCATTTTTTACCTAACCATGAATGGAGATGAAATAGCAGATTATAATACTATTAGAAATTCAACAGAACGTGCAGTACGATCCGCATCACAAAAAATAGAAAATAAAGGGAGAAAAGAAAAAGTAGTGAATATATTAATGGAAGTAAGTAATATACTATTATACTTTGATATTAATGAACGGAGCTCGGTATCTCTGGCGTATGATGAAATACAGCAAATGTAAATGCAATTCTTTTAGCTGGCCATAGCTAGTGTTCGAGGAATGCCGGCCTGGAAGAGCGAAATTGTCAAGATTTTTTTTTCTTCATGATATCGAGGGTTTCTGCTCCTCCTTGACCGTGCGTGGCCATTTTAGCTAAAGAATAGAAATACATTTTTAAACGTATCTGATTATCGAATATTATAACCACTTTGTAACTGCGAAACAATAAAATCCCCGGGGTAACTTTAACGTAATACGAACAAATTTTTGTGATCACATTCTAAATTTATTACATTTGCTGTAGATGGAAAGCGGTTACAATACTATTATTGGATTAAAGGCATTAAAAGCTTTGAATATAAATCAAGAATCATCTCCAGATTATACTCAAGAAGATATTGCGCAAAACATCAGAACATTGAAAATGAAACTCAGTTCACCTATGACTGATGCTGATGTAAATCTTTATGGAGCTCTTAAAAAAAGCATTGATGAAAATTTGGATATCTCTGAACTCACTTGGAAAAATCCAATCGCAAGTACGGTTCTCAGTGATGAGTTGGATATAGTTAAAAATCTAAATCAAAGACAAAGACGTACTTTTATGATAAAGATAGAAGCATAATCTCGTCGCTCTGTAACAATATATACCATATATCCTTTTCTCGGCACATTGATTGTACTTCACTGAAATAACAACAATTTCTATTATTACCCAGGAATCTCGAGAGAAGATGAAGTGTGGAGTTCCTAGATTAATTTCTTCTAGAGTTGACAAGTTCATAGAAAACTTTAACGAGAAAGATAATCCCAACTATAATAGAAATATTACGCACGATAAAACGTGAAAAGAGGATGAGTTTGAATTATTAAAAATAGCAGAACGTATACTTGGCGTATTGTAAGTCTCTAACCATCTTGGGGATACCTTGACAATAATTATTTAGAGACGTGATCTCACTCCAACACATATCTTAGTTTTACTAAGGCTTTACTAATTTATATCTGTAAATTTAGAGGAGATATATGGTGTAATCCGGCTTTTATTACAAGTACGACCCGTGGTATACAAAGTGAAGGGACTTACGTTGCAGACGTAATCATGCCATTACTTCGAGCTAGTTTAAGTGACTTACCAAATGGATATATCTGTTTAAGCACAGCCGAGCGTCAAAGTTTAGCAAGTAAGGTACGTAGAAATGATGGCACGGGTAGGGTAAAAATGGGAAAAAAACCTGATATTATGGCTTTAGAAAACTGTGATGGGAAGTTGGTGGAGTTTTTATATGTAGAAAGTTCTCGCATTGTCTGTAGTGCCACTAAAAAAACGGATGATGAGATAAAATTATGGCGAGAATTATTAGATGGAAGTAGTTATATAAGTTCTGTATGCAGACCTATTTGCAATCAATTTGGCGTGGTCGGGATCCAAATAGCTGGTGAGAAAATACATTTAAACGTCCTTGTTAACGATGCAAGTGGAATACCAAGATACTTCCATCTAGATCATGCAGAAATTCCATTAACCCCAGAAGTGAAATGGCGTACAAGAGCCTTAATAAGATTGCTACTGACCTTGAGAAATATTATAATCGTGAATAAGAATTTGCTTAAACATGCTATAGAACAGGCCGTTTCACATCCACCTCGAAATACTTCTCCGAGCCCCACTGTTACTACACCGGAACACGATTATCAATAGATTTTTCTTCGTATATCATGTATTTTATCCTGTATTTTTATCGTATATATATTTTATTAATAAAGATTTTTGATTAGAGGAACGTACAAGTCTTTAGATGATGAATTAGAGATTCGAGGCTCTGCCTCTTCTTCGAATCACGTATCATGTGTTATTTTTTTGTGTACTGTATAATGGTAATTTTTTCAAAATAATTTTCTATGATCCTTAGGATCGCCCTTCGGCCTGTGGAACAATGAAGCTGAGCTTCTGGCAAAAGTGATCCGCGTGACAAATTGTCATGGACTAGTTATTTTTTTAACTTGATACAGATGTCTAAAAAATTAAGATCAGGTGCTACACGCTTATCACCCGAAGCGATTAGTGATATAATTACTGCTAAGGGTACAGCAAATGCATTACCGATTCTACCTAAGAAATATAATGTATCATGTGCACGAATTCGTGAAATATGGGAATTCACTATTGTGAAAATACGGAATAAAAATAATGCTTTGCATCTAAATGATCCGCAATAACTTACAATGTAACGTGGTGCAAAATTTTCATGGTAGATAATAAGCAATTTATACAATTTTCATTTCACAAACCCGATATGGAGAAAAAATAATTTATTTATACTGTAGATGCATGATAAAACAAGATAATTTCAGAAAAACTGGACACGCGTGTCCAGGCGCAGGAGTCGAATATATTTTGGGCGACGGGCCGTCGCTAAAATTACAATTCGTCCAATTTTGGGCTTTATTTTTAGTGTAACGTGTACTATGGAAATTTGATTCATGCGACAATCTCATTTACAGATTATTCACTTGAACGCGTATTTTGAAAAAAAAATAAGGTTAATCTTTTCTATACTTCGATCTCTGGTAAAGTTTGCAGTCACGCGTATCCCTACTGTCGTTAGGCCATCCCGTCCTGCGTTCAGATGTTTGGAGGCAGTCTATTGGGCTGTCCTTAAGCATACGTGTTTAAGGCCCGAGTCCCAGTATGCTGTTTTCCAGGATGCGTTCACTATACCTACTGTCGTTAGGCCATCCCGTCCTGCGTTCAGATGTTTGGAGGCAGTCTATTGGGTTGTCCTTAAGCATACGTGTTTAAGGCCCGAATCCCAGTATGCTGTTTTCCAGTGTACAGTTGGCTGTAAATATTACTATATTTCTTTGTTAAGACGGATAAATGACTAATAATTGCATTGATTTTCTCTAGATGTTCGAATCTGTAGTGACGGAATATCTTGAAAAAACCGAAAAATAAAGATTGGACAATTCATGGAATCTTTTAATTTGCACGATCAAAGCCTATATTAAGAGCAAAACCTAGATTTATAAATAGCAAAACCTAGATCTATAAATACAGGTCTTTATTATTATACACATCAATCCTTATATTTCTAGCTTAATTTTATCTCATTCTAATGCTACTTAACGCATGATTGAAAAATTATTAAAATTATTACAAGCCTGGCATAAAATTAAATTATCTATCTGGGTTACACGACAAGATCAACAAGATAGAGCATACCCAGTGATAAAGACGCGACACGAAAAAGATTAACACTAACATCGTATCGAAATGATTTAATGGTTAGTTGCTTCTGAAAGTTTTATTGCAATTTGCAAAATTCTGACTTGTGCAGATCATTAAAAAAAGAAATCATCTAACACAATTAATTGCCCTAACTTTTCAATTAATCGAATTTTGACTCGTATTACTAAATATATATGATATTAAAAATTTTAACGGTTTATTTTTGTTAATTACTTTTGTATACTTAAATATTTTTGTAAAAAATAAACCAAAGTTAAACTAAAACAGCCAATAGGAACCTTTTGAAAACAATAAAATTTTTATTATTTACAATCCGGATTTAAATTATTACTACTTCTATATATTTACATTTTTATGAAATTTAATTGTTGATATTCCTAGACATGATACAAAGAACGCAGTATGTACGTACATACGACGAAGATCGAAATAATGTTTTATTGATTCTACCAAATAAATCTAAAAATAAGAATTTCATCGTCTTCAAATCCAGTTATACGTGTCTTTTTATTAAAGACATAACCTGAAAATAAGGTGAAAAAAAGACAAAATCATATCAAAGAGACAGAAATGATCAACATGTTAAGTTTTGAATAGTTCAAAGACAGAGTAAAGAAATTAAACACCAAAGCATTTAGCCAATATCAATTCTTCTAACCATTTTATATTACCACATCTCATCAAAATTTTCAAATTCTCAGAGTCCTCAATATCAACCCAATTATTATGTACATATTGTAAAGAAGCACGAGATAAAGTATTATTTCTAGTTTCCCAACCCAAAATTAAAACTAAATGCCAATTATCGATATTAATGGTCTTGGATAAACGAGATTCGACGATATTTCTGAGTTGAGTAATATCACGCATATCAGCTTCTAAATAAAGATGCTTCAAGATATTAAAGTTGAGATCTTCATCAAGTTTAGCAGTATAAAGGAAATATATCATAGCACGAAAGCTTTCGTAATTTGCACCAGAAATTTGAATGATAGAAGATTTTGATTCTTTCCAATCACCACTAAATACTTTGTAAAAATAAGAAGATCTAGAAGCCAAAATAAGACGAGAAGCTCTTACTTGAGAACCACAATTAAAACTAAAAGTTATGTCACTAAAATTTTCATTATCAAAATATTGCTCTAAAGAAGGAATCTCTAAAGTATCAAAATCTTTACGATCACCAATAAGAATTAAACGAACCAATAAATCTGTTTTTAAACTTCTATTTGAATTTAGAAAAACATGATTAATAGAGCAAAATTTACGTTCACCTATTTCGTAACCATCAGGATCAAATATTTCAGAACGAATATCACATTTTGAAGGTAGTGGATGAAGATGTCGCGCGATTCCATTTGAAGAATTTTTAGAGTTGTCATTTTTGTTAATACGAAATAGTTCAAAAGTAAAAGTAGCTTTTCTCATTTCACCATTTCGACTATCATGATCAGTTTTAAAATAACAAAGATATAACGACATATATCCAGGTTCATTATCACCATTAGGATAAAGGGATAATCTCCAAGAGTGATCCTGAGATCCAGAATTTTTACTTCCGATTTTTTCAGGAGAAAAAAACTTTTCACTTAAATGACAATTATTTTCAAAACTCATGTGTTTGTAAATTTCTTGAAAATCTTTAATGATCCAATTATAAACGAACGTATGATATTTTCCAGAATCAATATTTTGTTTGGTGATATCGGTTTGTTGAGGCATAACTTTTTTTTTTAGCTACGTATGAGTAATCAAGTTATTAACAAGAAAAAAAATAAATAAAAAATAAATAAATAAATAATAAATAAATTTTCATCTTTATGATTCTTTGACTGAAGAAAAAATAACCCACTGAAAAATTTTGAATCGATTAGGTCTATTCGATGAAAATTTACGAAACAAAGAGACGAAGGCTAAACAAGGGGGCTAATTGTTGATTTATATACCGTTACGTGTTTTTCTTTTACCAAAAAATGTTAGTTTGCTATATGAGGTAATACTCATGATACTGTATTACATAAATGGGCCGAGTTATTATTGTTATAAATTAATAAATAACATATATATCTATATTACGTAATAAAACTAAACGTTATTAGAAAAAAATATATGCTAATTACATATTAAGTATGATGAATATGATAAAAAAAATTATTTTATCGTAAGTCTTAGAAAGTATTTAAAAAAAGGTTATAACTGACATACGTGCATTTTAATATACTATATATACTATATAAATGTTATTTTTACTTTTTTCATAATACATATTTCGTGAATATATTATACAATTAATTAATTAATGAAACGTATGTTGATTTTTTTTTTTTTATTTATTGCATACGTATTTACACATAACGGATGGGACCAAAAACGAGTTTCTGGATATATAAGAAATAAATATAAAAATGCAATATTTACGTCGATTTTGAAGATCAAAATCATTTTTTTTTTTTTTCAGCCGCTAAAAGTGTTCGTACCAAATATATGGATTTTATTTAGTAAACTATTATTTTTATATATAGTAAATAAATTCGTAACATATGAGAATCAAACAAATAAAGCCAGAAGACCGGAAAAGGAGATCGAAATCTCAAGAGGTCGATATCAAGTTTGTATACAGTATATATAAAAAAAAACAAATAACATAAATATTAATGACTTATAGGATTTATTTTTTTTCTTTGAATAGGGTCGACAATGGAACGAACGATGGCGATACCCCGATGATGAGAAAGAAAGAGAAATATTAGATACGTGGAATGAATGTGACGAACCCTTGATTTCCCTATCTTCCACGGAACTTGCAGAACATCCTTTTGATGATTACATTAAACATTTTAATGCTCAAAAGGGTGATAAACCCGATGTCAAAGGAAAATCTACCAATGGAGTTTGTGATTGGTTACGAACTCTTTCTCTCAATGATTTACCATCTAAACCGCCGCAAATGCCTTTGAAATCTCCTGATAATGAAGATAGTTCAATGGTTCCAGAACAACAAAAAAAGCAGGTGGTATACAGATTGGTTTATGGAAAAGGTGTTGGTGACGAGAAGGTACGTATCAATTATTTATTTTTCACATAATTTATATAATTTATATTTGAGAGTAATATTGATGAATTAATTAAATTTAGAATTATAAATGGGAAGTTAGAGAAGAAGCGAGGTATTTTAAAATATTAAGCATTCTGATTTCGTGTACAGTTATCAAAATTATTATTTGGTAATTATATTGATAATCTACTATTAGTTATAGTAATTATAGTAAAAAGATTGACAAAAAACCAGCACAAGTTACAACCAAGACTGCAATATTGATTGATCTTGAAGAAAAGAACGAAACTCCAATGGCACCAACACATAAAATTCCTGATGACCTCAAGTCTTTGGATATGGACCAATGGCATAAGTTTTTCGCAAGGCAAACAATTTAATATAGTTATATAATTTCATAGGAGTTATGATTTTTTCAATTTCGTAACTACATTACACCTTATTCTGCAATATGATTAATTGATAACGTTGCAATTATTGCCGTGGCGATAAATAGCGAGCTTTTAAGTAATGATAGGGTTTTTTTTGCTAGTAAATTGATCCGAATTACATAAGAGCTTAATATATCAATGTTGTGCTACCGTGCGAAATTAAAAATTTTAATTGTTTAAAAAAAAAAGGCATTATAATTTTAATTGTTTAAAAAGGCATTATAAGAAATAGGACGATACATAGTTAGATTCTAGCCCAGTTGTTTGTACAAATATCTTGGCAAAGATCTTGAATTTCGAACTTTAGAAGGTTGTAGGACTCTAAAATATCACCAAATTTAGTTTGTTTAGTAAGATGTTAAACATTTAACTTTAAAGTCTGATCTTGGCGCTTAAAGAAATATTGAATCTTGTTAATCCTTTTAACTAACTAGATCATTGAAAAAAACAACTCTGGGAGAAAACTTTAAAAGAATATCTTAATGTATAAATTTATATATAATTATGGTGTACTATTATTTGTATACGTCATACGCATTTACCAGTCACGTAGCCTGTATTATAATTTTGAGACGCGTCAAATCTAATAAACAGTCATATTTGGATTATTAGGTTATTAAATTTTAATTAACATTAGTAATTCGGTTGACTAATATGTCGAAAATTAAGCGCTAAGGAAAATAATCCTTCATATTAAATTTTATAAAGCTTTGCTTTAGAGACTTGCAATGATTATAAGCATATTGAGCAGTAGTGATATGAATCGAAAATCGATTAATCTTTTAGTTGGCTGAGTTGACAACTAATCGATTAATAATTTTGACCCAACTATTAATCGATTAACCAACTAATCGATTAATTAATCGATTAATTGATTAGTTAGCAATAATTGATTTATAATCGATTTTTAAAAAATTTTCAACTAACATAATCGATTACATTTTTTGCTCTGATTCGTAACACTATTGAGCAGATAAATCGAAATCATTAGATGAGAGAAAATATTCCGAGTTAGATGTTCAATAGATTATATATCCGTTAGAAAAGCAGAATAAAATGATTACTAGTATTCTTATAGACAGTGTAAGTATGATACTAAGTGTTTGTCGTAAAAAATTTTACGCTGGAAGTGGAAGTAAACGCGAACTTAGTACTCTCCTAAAAAAAAGTTACGCCACTAGATTTAAAATTAAAAATTAATTTTAATCGAATGAAATTTTTTTTTTTTTGCATTCTAATTGTAGCTTTTTTGAGAAAGCTGCTTTAATAAGTGCTTAGAATGGGCAAGAATAAATTCAAAACGATGATATGAAAAAAAAAAAAAATTCTTAGGATAATTTAATTTTTTTTTCTTTCATTACAAACACAAATAATGTAACAGGCAAATAATTTGTCAAAACAGTCAATACAATGATTATATATTATGCTCGAAAGAATTGATATTAAAAACTATTACAGCTTATATCGTGACTATTTATGGCATATGCCATAGTTTCTACTGTATCTTTAGTTGATATGTATGTATGACTGAATTATTTAAAGATTAAATAGATTTTCAACATAATTTTGCTACTATTCAACGAGGTGAAATAAGAATAGGCTTCGAATTTTGGTCATAAGGCTTTAGTTCAGAGAAAATTTAAATTCAGTTACGTTTAGAGATGTATCTCGTATGAGATGGCGAAACTATCATACTCGCGATTTGTATCTCACGAGATAAATATTTTGATTAGGAAAATTTTGTTAAAATTTAATGTCTCGTGCAATATTTCGCGACATGATTTCGCGTGCGGCATGAACATTAACTGCTCGATACGAAAGTATGGAGCAGCATTTTGTCTCGAATCGATCGCGGGTATATAATAAATTGATCGTTGATGCATTGTCGTGATTTATCGTATGATTTTGTCGTTTGATTGTATGATTTCGTAATGACGTAGTATTTGAGATTAGTAATCGTTAGCAGTTAGTAGTAATTAAAAGGAACGGTTTTTTTCCAGAAAAGGTAATTTCTGTTTTTTCTACCAACTCAACTTTGTCTGGTTTTTTCGCCCCGCCCTACCCGACCCTCGAACATGATCTTGCAGTGCTGCAGTGGCATAGAGGTTTTTAATTTGATGGCCTGTCGTGACGACAATCATTGTTATTAGCTGATATTTACGTAGGGCAAAAAATACCTACTTATTTGCCGGCCACTCATTTTTGATTCCCCCAAAAATTAATTACATACACTTCTAAATCGGGTGTATCAGAAAAGACACTTTAAACAATGGGCATTGACGCAGTAAATGGCCGGTAAATAAGTAGGTATTTTTTTGCCGTTTTTACGTAGCTTATGGCCTGTCGGACGACAGTCTAATTTGGATTTTTGAAATGAGGTAGCTTGTCGGGACGACAGTCACGGAGAAAATTTTGTATTTGTGTTATCCGACAATTTAATGATCATGATTCGTAGAGAGTTGTCTGTTGAGTTTTAATTTGAATAAACATGTTTACATCGTTCAAATGAAAAATAATTTCATGATCATATGAGTTTTCCGGATAATCCATATACGTTAAGGTTCTTATTATGATATTTACTTTGATTTTGTCTAATCCAAATTTCAAATTTGTAAAACGGCTCTATCTTGTAATATGGTACCTCATAATTTCAAAAATATTTTAATTTTGTCTTACTTGGTCTTTATCATATTTATCATATATATGTTTAAAGAAGTTTTCAACATTATGAAATAAATTTATGATAAAAAAAAACAAAACCAAAACCAAAAAAAAAAAAGAATGTACTGTACATTATTTCCCTACTTTTTTTGAACTTGGAATATTTCATAATCTGATACTGAGAAGTAAGATACTCTATCCATATTCCTAATTGATTTTTCATATGAGTGTTTACTACAATAACAACGATTATCCTGATTAAAATTATCTGACATATAAAGATCGGCACCTTGACCAAAATGTGGGCCTTCGCTAGAAGAACAATAAATTGCACCCGTTGGCTTTTTTACACGACTTAAAATAGAGGATCGAACAGTACCATTTTTCAATGAAAAAATAAAACTATCATTACAGCTTCTCAATTTACCATTATATTGTTTATCCCAACCAATGGGATTATATCCACCAAGAATTTCATCAGTACCTTTAGCTTTCATGACCACAACAATATTTGTTTGTTTATCACATAAATTCCAAAATGTAGCAGTAGTAAAATCATCTCTGGTTCCACGAAGAAGTAATTTAAACTCATGCGGAATATTTGTAATTGAATATGCATCAGTTTTCTTATCAATCCATGATGCAATTTCGGCTGCATGTGCTTCACTAATAATTTTTGAAAATGGTTCCGTCGTACGTGTTGGTAATGTTGGTTCCAAAATTACTCGAGGTGGAAGAATTATTGATGATATTTGTCGATTGGGATTTACGGCTCTTCCTATTAGGTCATTCCAAAGAGTTTTGCCTAAAATTTGTTGATATGGCTGTACATTATCAACAACGTCATCACCAGATATTTGGAAGTAACGGATATGAGGTAAACAGTTTTTTAATGTAGTTTTTAAAGTTAAAAGGTTTTCGTTAGTCCAGTTTTCAGGTCCACCAGATGGTAAGTTCGGATTTTGTGCGGTTCCCCACTTGATAATATAATTCCAAATTTTCCCTTCTTCCATTTGTAAATCATCACGTTTAATAAGAGAGACTAACGCATTTTCCTAAAGTGATGTGAAATCTTCAGAGTCGAAAATTTTATTTGGATATTTTACCAGAAAATCATTGCACCATTTTTGTAATTCTTGAAGCTGTTCATTTTGGAAACTCTTTTGATAAACACTTGTAAAATGTAAACGAAGCCAACTAGCTTCCTTTTTAATTAAATGAATTTCAAGATAATTAGCTAATTCTTTAAGAAGGAACTTACAAGCAGTAAGCATAGGTTCAAAAACAAATGATGCGTCTTGATCTTCTATAAGAACTAATCCTCCATAAATATATCTTCATTAAATTAATTCAAAGATTAGTTTCCCGTGCTGTAAGTAAAAGAATATCGTACGAAAATATTATATAACTTACTTAATAATAATTTCAAATTGTTGAACGGAAACGTGTTTTAAATTAATTGTTTTAACGTTATTATTTTTGTTAGTTTTTGCTAATTCATTTTGAAAATACAAAGACCTATATCTCAAAATATTTGAATGAGCTTGAAATCTCTTGACATTTTGTGATTCTCCAACATTGATTATTACGTTAAAATATTCTTTATCATCAAGAAGTCCAAGATAATCTGTGGAAAGTTTCTCGAATAATTTTGCTGCCATTTCGGATCAAATGTGAATTAATTCAGTAATTCTGAATTCTGTGAATTTTTATATCAAATTATATACGTAGTAAAATACGTAATAGTAACACCAACACATTTTTAACTTGAATACGTACGTGATCGCATTTCCGATACCCGTATTCTAACTTGTAAGATGATTTTGATATATTATGATTCCTTACTGTCTGAACTAAACCGTGCAATTGCTAATTCTCTACAGAGGGAATAGCAGGCTACTATTACAATAATGACTAGGGATGGCAAAAAAACAGGTTTAACCGTTTTTTTCACCGATTTAAACAGGTGATGATTAAGGTCCGAGTAGTTAAATCTGGATCTAAATATATATCTTTACTTAATAAGGACATAAAATAAAATAGAGCTATTTATTGCTCAATATCAATAATTTCAATAATTTTATTAATATTTTAACTTGTTTAACATATATTTCGAGTAGTCATATAATACTCGTGTACAACCTAGTGAGAGTATTTCAAGGTTGTAAACATTTTTTTCCGTTACTGAATTATTGTCAGATTTTGATAACACATAAGTGTTATCAGCACAATTATATTTAAAGTTAGGGCCTTTAAATTATTAATTACTAACGTAGCTTGCAACATTGAAGAGTTTAAAACTTTATTTGTGCCTGCAGATTAATGGTACCTTCAAATATAATCTTAACATGATTAGTTGGTTGTCATCAGTTATTTAATGCAAATAAATAAAATATTACAATGATTTTTTGGTACGTTAATAACCGAGAATATCTTAAGATTGCAATGGACTAATAAGCTACGTATTGCTAAGGAAATAGCATTCAGTCTTTTATTCTTGCGCGATTATAATATTATTCATATAATCCAATTTGAATTCATTAAGAAGAGTCCAATAGTATCGAAATAATTAAAATCAATCTTGGGATATCTTTAAAATTTTAAAAAATTTATATTAATTTTTATATATTAAAGCCTTACAAAACTAGGTTTCAAAATTGAAGCCAGATTTCAAGGTTCCGTACCTAAAAACTTTACCATCCCCAAACAACACTACGTCAATCGATGTTATAGTCGCATTTAAAAATCATAAAGCTCATATATTCACAGAGAAAATTAAAAGAAATTATAATTACCACATTAGCATATTAAGTGGTAATACGCTTAACTTTAGCTGTTAAAAGAAATTGCATTTATAAAATTTTAACCAATATTTTTCACCATTGCTAATTTAACCCTCTACATGTAGCTATTTTCATTTTCGGGCCCTTACATGCAAATTCACATAATTTTTATTGCCTGATTAACCATGTCAATAATTAAGTTAATTATTAATTTTAATGTTGAAAATTTCAATTTCTTCAGCAATAAAATTGGAACGTCCCAACATTGAACAGGTTCCATTCTGTCCAAGCAATTTCAAACGGCCACATCCGAAATCTACCGATGATGCATCACTCTGAAATTGAAATTCTATTTTACAAGGTTCATGAAGATTAGAGTCTTTTCCATTTCCAAAATAAATGAAAAACCCTTCAGCTCTGTCAGTTCTACTAAAACTTTATATTTATTGTAAATGAGTTAATTGTATTCATTCAATTTTTAATTCATACGTAATCATATAAAAATATTTACCTGGAATAAATAAGAAGATCCTTAATGTATCCACCAATTATACTATCTGAATTTTTAACCTTAATTAACAAATTAACAAAACTTTTGAACTACTTTTAAGTCTGGTGATAAGTTCTTTGGAATCAAATCCATTGCGGGTCGCTCGATAACTAAGTATAAACTCGTAAGAAGTTTTTTTGAGAATGACGTCTGTTTTCATGACCCATTTGATTATGTCTCGAGCATTTTCCTTTTTAATTATGGTAGAGTCGATTTTGCCACGTGGTTGCAAATTAACTTGTTGTGGTTTAATATCAGCAAAAAAATAAACTTTTAAATCTTTATAAAGATCTTTTGGCAATACTTTTTTAAAAGGCATAACATGATGATAAAATTCAGCCCGTGAAATTTCACAAAATCGAACATAAGGTATAAATGGATCTATATATTCTTTAAATGCTGAAAATTCATTTTCTTTCCAACTAGTGATATCTGTATTGACGAATTTTTCTTTTGATAAAGAAATAAATTGAATCATTCCCCATTTCATTAAATAATTCCAAACTTTGATTTCTTCGATAATTAAGTCGTCTCTCTCAATAAGTTCCAAAAAAAGATATTTTTCTAATGTTGGAAAGTTTTCTAACTCAAATAATAATAGTTCTGGATCCATGCAAATAGTATCTATGATATAAGCTTTGAGTATCTTGCACTTTTCGAGGCTGGCTGTATCCCACAAAAATACAAATATATTTTCTTTATGCCAAGAGAGTTCTTCTTCACTAATAATTTTTATAATACCATCTTGAACTTTATCACATCTTTTCAGTTCAGTGATATTGAACAAAATATTAATAATATTTTCTTTAAGCCAAGAAGGTTTGGTTTTAATAAGCTGGATAAATGTTTAATTTTAAATATTTTAATTTTATTTTATCGTAAAATATCAAAAATTCAAAAATCAGAATTATAGATATATGTCAAGTAGACTTACATGCTCTGAAATGCGGTTAAACAATTCATCAGGAGCCAACTCATCAACAACATTAAGAAGAGCATAAAGATCAGATTCCGAATTTATTGACAGGTCGAGAGCACCCGTAATGTAATCTTGAATTTGCTTAAAACGTTGAATTTTGAAGACAGTAGGTATAATTATAACAAGATTTTTTTTAATCCAATCAATTTCCTTATTAATGAGCTATATTATATAATTTTTTATCATTTTTTGTATACGTAAGTTGTAAATTATATCAAAAATGAAAACTTTTAACAAAATCCAATAGCCTTACATATCTTTGTACGTGATCAACTAAACGATCAAGTAATAATTCATCAGCAGCGATAAGAAGAGCGAAAATATTAGAACCAGGTTGATCTTTTAAGTCAAGGGTTCCTGTATAAATATATCTTTTAAATTACATAATTAGTGAAAGATGTTGGTGTCGTATATATCAGATATAGAAATCCACGTAACCTATATATACCGTAAAATTAAATGAAATACAGCTGGTGAGATATTTGGCTTTGAAAAATAAGAAATACTTTCTTTATTTTTCATCCATTTATCGGATAAAGCAACTTTGAAATAAGGGGATCTGGCACGTAAAATAACGGAGTGAGCTTTAAATTCTTTAAAGTCTGGTTCTTTACCAGCTTGAATAATAACATCATAATCATCTGAGTCTTCAAAAATATTTGAAAGTTCATTAGAAAGATCATCAAAAAATTTAGTAAATGTATTTATTTCAAAAAATTTAATAAAAGCCATTATTTCAAAAAATGAAAAGGAAAACGAGAGGTGGATTTTCAAATTAACAAAATTAGCAACAATAACATTATATGTCGATCACTAATATATTTGGGATCGACTAAAGCGGTGAGTTTTATGATTTAACCAAAAAATTAGTAACGTAAGCCTAATACGTATTATTACTAGCCAATTATTGTGAAGAGCCTTTAGCCAATATTGCAATAGGATTTTGTTAGTTTTTATTTTCACTTTAATTTAACGAAAATAATCCCTGCATCAACTTCATGGCTGTTACCGGTTAAACCTATCAGGTTAAAATTTCGAAATCATTGAGAATCGGTATGATTTTATCAAATAATTAAAAAAAATTGCTAAAAAACAAAAAGCTAGACTTTCTTTTATTTAAAGTTGTCCCAAATGTCATTATCAGCCTAAACAAATTAATTTAGGCAGGGGACAAATTAGAATTGGAGCAACATATGTCTATATATCACATGAAATGAGAGCTAAATATTCCTTTTTTTGAAACCAACGTAATACGTAATACTAGGGTGTCCCACGGCCTATTTAATCAAACCCATGTAAGGTCACTATGTAATTTTTTATATGGCAGATTTTTCATGTTACACACAAATGATGCATAAATTTTTCATTTGGATAATCTTTGGCATTCTATTATACATAACACAATTAATATTTTAAAACGTTTCCTTGCATTTT